ATTTCATTGTTGGGATTTTGTTCTTCGGCGCAAAGGCTGTGTCGTCTTTTCTCCAAACGTAAGTCCTTGAATTACGTCCAAATAGTTCAACTTTTGCTTCATCTGTCCATAAAAAAAAAAAAAACACTTTCCCAAAATGATTCAGGTTTATTATGCTCACGAACAAATTTTAACCGGGAATCCCTATATTTCTTCAATAGCGGAATTTTTCTTGGAGAACGCGGTCTTAGTTGACTCCTTTGAAGTTCATTGCTTATTGTTCGCTTCCTAACAATAATACCTGATGCTTTGAATTCTTCCTGTATTTCTCTTCGAGTAGTCATTGGATTTTCATGCATTTGGCGCTGAATTCTTCTCATTGGTCTGGGAGAAATCTTGCATGGTGCACCAGATCTTGATTCGTTCACAACAGTTTTCACCTTTTTATACTTAGCAATAACAGAACTAATAATGGTACATTCTGGATTTCTGCTTTTGCCTTCTTTCCAATGTTTGCTGATCAATTCTTTTTGTGAATTTAATAGTTCCTTGCCTTTCATCTTGATAATAATTATTGTCGATGATTTGTGTGCAGAGGTAAGCTTATATAAGAAATGAATTGTGGAAAGTTCTAGATTATGAGTTAATTGGAAGAATCTACCAAAGTCCAACAAAGAATTATGTAAATAAAGGTAATCTAAGACTTGATATTAAAGACATATTTTGTACGAATACTTTTTTCGCCTCGAAACTTTATACATAACACATATTTATGTTTAACGTTGTTATTTATAGATACGTTAAACATAAAAATGTCTTTAATAAATAAATTGTCGGACCTCGGCCATTTCTTAACACATAACACATAATTTCTTTTATAACAAAATCTTCTAATTGTTTTTTGTATAGTGCAGCATTATGCAATGGTGTAGAAATATTGTATGGATTTTAAGATTTTTCATCAGCTACAACTATGTTAATTAAAAGAAAATTCAAGGTGTACGAATATTTATTTCCTCCCACCCAACACACACACTGTTTAGAGATTTTCCAAGCATAGATTAGATGTGGCACAAGGCCGAAAGTAAGGGGCACCCAGTGAGGCTCGAACTCACTACTCTAACTAATTATTCTAGCGAGACAAGCTTGCTAACCATTACACCACCTAGAGTTGCCCCCCCACTCAACACATTGTATATGTATATATAAATGCGTGTATGTGTATGCGTCAGTCTACTCATTTTTGGGGGGCACCTGGAGACTGTGTAATGGTTAGCAAGCTTGTCTCGCTAGAATAATTACGACTGAGTAGTGAGTTCAATTCTCACTGGGCGCCCTTACTTTCGGCCTTGTGCCACATCCGAACTACGCTTGGAAAATCACTACTGATTGCTTTTTATCTATCAGTTTAAACATATCGACATGCAGAAGCACATATTTTAAGATAACCGCCTCAAGTACAATAGACCTACCGGAAGTAGGTCCATTTTCAGAGTCGCAGATCTTAGGTATACTGTGTAGGTTCCGAAAATAAACTTTATTTCAAAGTATTTATTTATAGCAGATATTCCCTTCCGTTTTCCCCCTGCATCTGTGTGTGCATCCATGTACGCAGGCGAGGGCGACAGTGTTTGCGTATAAATACGTACAATAGCCTAGACAGAAAGGGTTACAAGAGAAATAAACAGGGAGTCTACGGCAAGACGCTGCAAGATTCATATTCAGAAGCAACTTTTTAGATCTATCTATCTATCTATCTATCTATCTATCTATCTATCTATCTAGTTGAGTCCGTTTGTGTCTATCTCGCTAGCTATGTTCATATCTATCTGTGTATGTTTCTATCTCCCTTTCTCAGTCTATTCCTAACTATATATCTACCTAGCGGTCTTTTCATTATCTATCTATCTATCTATTTATCTGTCTGTTTCAAACAAAAAATTCGCTTGAAGATGGAACGGAGCCCTTTTTAATTTCAACTCAATTTAATTTAAAGGATTATATTGAAGTTTTCGGCTCTTGTTTTGAAACATGAGACCTCTTATGTAGCGATTTGGAATCATATTTTTAAATAAATAATTATATTTATGCTCTACTTTTGTATCGAGCACTATTTTTTTAAAATAATAACAAAAATACTAAGGAACTTTGGACTATTTACCTAACCAGTTCCTTCCTATTTTCTATATATTTTCACACATATATATATATATATATATATATATATATATATATATTATAGTATTATGCAGCGGCGAAAAAATATTGTATGGATTTTAAGCTTTTTCATAAGTTATAACTATGTTAATAAAAAAATTTCATTAACATTAGAAATGAGGCGAACAGATACTACACTTTGATTTCAGTCCGATCGCCAAGGAATGAAGGAAAACGTAACTCGATTAGCAATGGCTGTTCTGTCAATGAATTCCGAATGTTTCCTTATAGGGAAATGATTAAAATTACCATTAGAGATGAGGAGAACAGATGCTACACTTTGATCCCAGCACGATGGCCAAGGAATGAAGAAAAACGTAACTCGATTAGCAATGATTGTTTTGTCAATGAATGTCGAATGTTTCCTTATAGGGAAAAGATTAATAGTATCGTTACCATTGACATTTAAGCCACTAAGAATAGATAAAAATGATAAGTGGAATATAGATAAATAGATATGAATATAAAGTAATCTTCAACTTTTTATTTATTTATTTGTTTGTTTATCTCTTTTTACTTACGTCTTTTCTCGGACTTAAAATATCGTGTTTGTTCAATTTTCTCTTCTATTCCTTCTTCCTTATTAATTATTTATTTTATTTTATATGGGGGGGGGCTTTTTTCGTTTATATTATTTTCTCTCACACTCCGGGCTTCTTTCGTTCGTCGTTGGCGTAACGTCGCGTACATCATTTGCCTCAAACACCTGTCATATCGGAACTGAAGTGTGGCTGACAGGTTAAGTCACCTTTCGATTAATTGAAAAATCAAGATCGGTCCGCGCGTGATTTTCCCGCCGACGAAACTCGGATTTAGTTGTCAGGCGCATTTTAATTGGACGGGAGTAGACGTTCTTTTTGATTGGTGGTGAGAATGCAGGAAGCAGTCTTCCCAACTTTGAATTGCGCGTGCGTAGAAGCTCCCAGGCTTTTTTTTTTAAACTGCAAAGAACCATTAAACAAAATAGTGGGACGAAAGAAGTGGCCATTGATTCTATGAAAACGGAAGACATAAGGTCGAGCAAAACAACACAGAATATTAATTACGTATCTGGGATGACCAAATTAAACAAATACGGAGATTCAGCAGACGATGAGTAAAGTAGAACAGGATTTGAAAGCCAATCGAATTAACACTATTTACATTATTCCGACTATTCTCCTCATCTTTGTCGCCATTTTTATTACAACGTTTCGACCCTTCAGTATCTGTCGATATTTCTGTGATGAGGTATTATGTACAGTATTTACATTATTCGGACTATTGTCCTCATCTTTGTCGCCATTTTTATTACAACGTTTCGACCCTTCAGTATCTTTCTATATTTCTGTGATGAGGTATTATGTACATTATTTACATTATTCGGACTATTGTCCTCATCTTTGTTGCCATATTTACCACAACGTTTCGGACAATGTACACTCCGGCCTTCTTCAGATAGTTGGAATGTCAAACCGAACCCTTTATTTCGCTCACTGGGTTAGACTGTTCTAGTTCCACGTGCCATGTTTTTAATGGATGTCAATTTCCCTCTCCAAGTTATTCACCGCCGTAACCAGGTATTGAAATCACACTCTTTGGGTCCTGTCACTGGATCTAACTAACTAATCCACTCTGCCATGTGTCCTTGAGGACATCTGTGTATGAATTTCTGGGTATTATAAGCCTAATGTCTTCAGTAACCATTTTTTACCCGAGTTCATTTTGCATTTGTTGCTGTTATCATTGCATATTTTTACCAGAGCTCATATTGTAATTTTCATTGTTATTATTGCTTTTCTCTGGCACTCGTCATTGCTGGTTCCCATATTGGATTCATTTCTATGCTTGGTTGGCTCAGGAGATTTTTGTGGCCTAGCGTATGTGCTGATTCCTTAAGTTTACGAATTTTCCAATAATGTTCTTTGTCTATGATCTCAACCTGATCCCACAGAGGGCAGTGATCTCCCTTCTCTCTCCATATGTGGTCAGCCACGCCTGATTTTTCCACTTCCCCTCGTGTTACAGCTTTTTGGTGTTCTTGAAGCCTTACCTTAAGAGGGCGACCTGTCTACCCTTTATATTTATTTCCGCAGCTGCACGGGATAGCGTACACACAGTCTTTAGTCACGTTCTCCTCTATGGGGGGGTCTTATCCGGGAGAGATATCTGCGAAGTGTCGTCAAGTTTTTGAAGGTTGTCCTGTTGTTATATGGACCGCAGATCCTTTGTATTTTCATGGCAGTGGTACTAGAACAGTCTACCTCAGCGAGCGAAATAAAGGGTTCAGTTCGACATTCCAACCAGCTGAAAAAGGCCGGAGCGTACAACGGTCGAAATGTGATACATATGGCAACAAAGTCGAGGACAATAGACTGACTAATGTAAATAGTGTACATAATATCCTATCTCCGAAATATAGACAGATACAATCGAATTAACGTAAGAAATGTTTTAGAATCTGGAAAAGATTTCAAGATATCTTAATGCTATCAATAAATAAATATTATGCCTAAAGTAGGAGGCAGGATCGAGTAATAGATAGCTCAAATTCAGGAATCGGAGAGCCGAGTTCGAATCCCAGTTGATTTGGTTTGTTTTGTTTCACGGCATATCAACTTCAAAGAGTTATTTAATGCATTTAAGATTTTTATTATTGGTAATATTTTTTTTCAAAAATGTATTGCTGGTAATATTTATTCAAAAATTTATTACTGGTAATAACTTTTCCTGAAAAATTTAAGGCTGGTATTAAAACCTATTTTATATTGTTACATGGACCACTTGGGTCCATATAGATCTCCGGTTGAGAACCGCTAATCTAGAGGAGTCTTGATGATGGAAAAATACTGTTGTAGAATTATTGCAACCGCTTTCTTCTGAATTTGAAATTGAATTTTGAATTTTGAATTAACTTCAGTTTCTAAGAATCTTGATGTCTTGTCCGTAAACAAAAGACTGTGTTGTACTTTTGCAGTTGAATACATTTATATTCAAACAAATTGAAATAAATGCATGCAAGAATACAGACGCGCACCTGTGTGTGTCTCTATCTCTATATCTGTGTGTGTACGTGTGAGTGTACGTGTGAGTGTGTGTGTGTGTGTGTGTATGAAATTAGTTGTGTAAATACAGACGGGCTGTTGGAAATAAATATTCGTGTGGATCGTATTACGATTGTAATTAATTTCAGTCACACTGACAATTTTAATCCGATTTTTAAAATGATGTTTTTTCCATCATTAATGAGGAAATCAAAATAAAGGCGGTTTTCTCTGTGTGTGTGTGTGTGTTTTTTTTCTTTCATTTTCTTTGATTATAAAAGAAAGAAATGGCGAGACTTAATGAAGTCATGCAGAGAGGAAAATGCATGTGCAGAATACCGGACTATTCTTTCTTTTTATTTCTACCTTAATTGTAAATTAAGGTAGAAATAATTATCTATCTATCTATCTATCTATCTATCTATCTATCTATCTATCTATCTATCTATCTATCTATCTATTTCAGTCCTTTCATATCTATCTATCTATCTATCTATCTATCTATCTATCTATCTATTTATCTATGCCTGTTAATATCTTTCTATCACTTCCTGTTAATATCTATCTATCTATCTATCTATCTCAATCGTCTCATATCTATCTATCTATCTATCTATCTATCTATCTATCTATCTATCTATGTCTGTTAATATCTTTCCATCACTTCCTGTTAATATCTATCTCAGTCGTTTCATATCTATCTATCTATCTATCTATCTATCTATCGATCTATCTATCTATCTATCTCTGACTTTTTAGATCTATCTATCTATCTATCTATCTATCTATCTATCTATCTATCTATCTATCTATCTATGCCTATCTATATCTTTCTATCACTATGTTAATATCTATCTATCTATCTATCTATCTATCTATCTATCTATCTATGCCTGTTAATATCTTTCTATCACTTCCTGTTAATATCTATCTATCTATCTATCTATCTATCTATCTATCTATCTATCTATCTATCTATCTATCTCAGTCGTTTCATATCTATCTATCTATCTATCTATCTATCTATCTATCTATCTATCTATCTATGCCTGTTAATTTCTTTCTATCACTTCCTGTTAATATCTATCTATCTATCTATCTATCTATCTATCTATCTATCTATCTATCTCCGTCTTTTCGTTATAAAAAAAAATGAACATTTCTAGAACACCCTGATTTTACCTGGTTTTATTAATTCTGAACAATAAAATAATCTTTTTCTTCATTTCAGTTGCACCATTTTTTATTATATTTGTCATAAATCCATATTCTGCAACGGAATTATTTTAGTATAAAAGGAAGGCAGCCAGTTAAATAAATACATTTCAGTAAATGTAAAAGAACCACTGGCGTCATCTTACTTATAAAACGCAGATTGTGTGTGTGTGTGTGTGTGTGTGTGTGTGTGTGTAACGTTTATATATTGGATCGGATTTCCTACATTTTTCAACCGATTTCAACAAAACTTCACAGGACTACATAAAATTACCTTATGGTGGTTCTAACAGCGCCAAAATGGGAAAAAATATAATTGTTTTTGCACAAAATCAATTTGAAAACACGATTAAGAGACATCGTGAAAATGGAAGGGGGACAACTCACATCGGTTTGTTTGTGTGTGTGGGTTCCTTTAAATATGGGAGCGGATTTCCTATATTTTTCAGCCGATAAAACAAAACTTCACTTTTTTTTTTTTTTTTTTTTTGGCAGGTAGTGTTTCTTATTCTCTTGCACACTTTTTTTTCTTTATTTTTAACATTCAGAATGCTTTAAAATTCCATTTACAAGACAATTGTTTATAATAAAATTCTATTCAATCAGTAGACTCATAACGATTGAAAACAATGTTTTTGTTTGAGTTTGGGTTCGTAAAAAAAAAAAAAAAAAAATTAAGACATGCGTGTCCGTCATCCTTAAACAATAATCTAACGATCTCTACTGATTGTACGAATACAAACATAAATTCTTTATCTTTAGGGAAAGATAATGAAATTTAAACATACACAAAAGTCCTAACTAAAAATAATAACCGGAACGGGAAACTACTTTAAATACACATGGTGTCCAATTTTTTTACTGTATTCAATAAGTAAAAATCATAAATTGTAAAAAAAGATTATTATTACCGAAAGGCTACTAAATGAATAAGATTTGTTAGATCATAATTAATAAACCCAAATAAAGTTAATATTTTTGTATTAGAAACAACGAGTGGAAAATATATTCAAATCAGAATTCTAATTATGAATCACCACAAGCAAAATATGAATTTTTTTTTTTACTGTATTCAATAAGTAAAAATCATAAATTGTAAAACTAAAAAAGATTACAGAAAGGCTACCTACATTTTTCAACCAATTTCAACAAAACTTCACTTTTTTTGGCATGTAGTGTTTCTTATTGTCTTGCACACTTTTTTCTTTATTTTACATTCAGAATGCTTTAAAATTCCATTTACAAGACAATTGTTTATAATAAAATTCTATTCAATCGGTAGACTCATAACGATTTTAAACAATGTTTTGTTTGAGTTTGGGTTTGACCAATTCGTAAAAATAAAAATAAAAAATAAAAAACTAATTAAGACATGCGTGTCCGTCAACCTTAAACAATAATCTTTGTCAATTTTATTTTTCAGTCTTTATGATGGTGGATACTTGATCTATCTCTTACTGTTACATCCCCGGGCAACGCCGGACTCTACTGCTAGTCGCTTATAATAAAAAAAAACCGGCCATAGACCAGCTTATTTTGATATACGACCGGATATATACAAGTGCATTTCACTATAATACACAGTCTTCTTTAGGAGTATACTGTCTTCTTTTAAGGCAGCCATGGTGCCGTTTTGCGTCCATCGTTAAGAATTTACTTCGGACAAGTTTCCTCTTGAGTCGTTGTTGTATAGCAACAAGTATCATACGAGGTACCCCAAATATCACACTATAGGTACCCCAAATATGTACATAACAAATCCAAAAGCAATACACTGGTGTCAAGGGGTATAAATTTCACCGATTGGACTCCGATCTATCACGATGAATGGATATCCACTTGGAGAGGCTACTTGCTTTGAGAGAATACTAGGTCTTAAACTCACGCTGACATCAAGTGAAATTCGTGCATAAGATCCATAGCTCAAGATGCAGGCAAAATGCTTGGTTCTCTGCAGTTGACGCTTCGTGCTATCTTCTACTTTTACAAGTGCCAGATCAGTTCTAAAATGGAGCATTATTGTCATATATGGTCAGCAGCTGCTAAGTCCTCACTTTCCAGTTTTGATAGAACCCAGAAGCGTCCCCGAATGATAGATTATTTTCCGCTACGACTACGGCATGTCTGAAAACGATTCTGAAAATTCTACTGGTCGATTCGTTTTCTACAGCTTATCAATCAATGGCAGGTTATTTAAAGCCAGAAAATATTTTTAGATTACCTCGGAGTTCTTGACAAGATCCAGAGGCGGATATGTAATCTAATTGGCCCTGATCTAGCGTCTCGTCTGCAGTCACTCTCTCACCGACGCGCCGTCGCCTCTCTCTGTCTTTTCTACAAATACTTCCATGGTAACTGCTCTGACGAGCTGCTTTCTCTGGTTCCCAGACTCCATGAATTCAAAGCGCCCTACGAGGCTGGCATCCCACTTCCCACCCCTTACACTGTAGAAACTTTCAAATGTAGCCGTCTCTTCTACTCCAATAGCTTCATACCTCGCACCTCTCGCCAGTGGAACACCCTCCTCAATTACTGTTTCCTTGAAAGCTATAATCTCCAACTATTCAAATATAATGTCAATCGACATCTCCAGTTGCCTTGATCTACCCACTATCCTTCTCCTCATCCTTTCTCCTATCACTCCTATCTGCTCTCGCTCCAAATCTTCTGCAACCCCCTGGATCCTAGTGGCTTCACGCCTTGCTTGGGGCGTAATGCTTTAAAAAAAAAAAAGAAGTTTTTTTTTTTTGAGATAATAATGGTTCAGTGTAAGGGATTCTCAGCAGGTGTGAAATTTAACCCTGGGGTTAGTGAAATGTGACCACAGTAAGTTTAGGGGGCGTGGAGGAGAGCAATTATAGAATTTGGCCTATTTGACCTTTCACCTTGAAAAGGAAGAGGGAATGGCATTCTGACAAATGGTGGAAGGGGTGCATGGGACAAGCAACTTTGAGAACGCCTGGTTTAGTGACACAAGTCTTACTAATGAACCAATCGCGGGGGCGGGAGAGAAGGCGTGGATCCGGACCTGATCAGAATTTGATAAACAAACAAGAAACTAAAAAAGTAGTTATAAAATGGGGGATCAATTCTACATTAAAATCAATACATAAACTGATCCCTCATTTTTGGGCATGGTAGTTTCTATACACTTATATTCTTGAAAATGTAAATAAATCTAAGACATGCCCCTGTGTAGCTAATCAGTATTTCATTGAGTGATTGATTCGTTTTCTACGGCTTATCAACAAACGAGAAATTATAACGTGGATTTAAAGTGGGGGATCGATTCTATATTAAAATCAATATATAAAATGATCCCTCACTTTGTGACCATGGTAGTTTCTCTACATTTATAATCTAGAGAAGGTAAGTAAATCTCAGAGATCACTGTGTAGCTAATCAGTATTTCATTGATTGATTGATTCGTTTTTTTACGGCTTATCAACAAACAAGAAATTATAATGTGGATATAAAGTGGGGGACCAGTTCTACATGAAAAGCAACATATAAAATAAACCCCAATTTTGTGTCCACGGTAGATTCTATACATTTATATTCCAGAGAATATAAATAAATCTAAAAGACATGCCTGTGTAGCTAATTGACTGATTCATTCATTTTCTACGGCCTATCAACTCTTTGCAGGTTATTTAAAGCCAGAAAATAGTTTTAGATTGTTAGATTTTTTTTATATAATAGCCGTTTAGTGATACAAGTCTTACAAATTAACCCATAGATGGGGGAGGTGGATTCATGCCTTTCCCAAGGTCATTTGCACGTCAGTGAAGAAAACGAACCCAACTGAAATAGGAACTCGATTCTCCAATTAACAATTCCGAGCTATCATCCATTATGCACCCCGTCACATCCAAATTTACAGCTCCTGATGTTCCCAAGCTGTCACCCATTTAGGTGCTGAGCAGGCTCGACGTTGCTTAACGTCGGTGATCGTACGGGAACCTATGTTTCAACTCAGAGACTTGCTATCACTTAATCTCTCAAGCCATCAGCAAACACGCAACGAAGCGAAAAATAAATGTCTTAAAGTGCATTCGTCAAGCTGTCACGAAACGCATCTAACTTTACCCGCCATCTTTGTCACGACGGCATCTGGCTTCCGGTTGGCCATTGCTACGGCGACAGAAACACTTTCCCGGCTTCCTTTCGATGGCCGGTCTCACATTGTACAATACTTATGGCGTCATCGCGGGTGACAATCACCCCGCTTCAATTAATACAGATTTTGAATTCGGCTTTTACAAATCGGATTCCACGTGACTTAGCGACACCGGAAGTGCAACTCAGAGGAGGTTGATTTAAAAATGACGTCAAGAGAAAGTGGTATAATGCCTAAGTAAGAGGAGGTTGATGAAATATGAACTTATATTATAGTTTCTCTGTTGTTGCTTTTATAAGTATTTGGTAAGCAGCGGGTGGCAAGATAATAGTTCTTTGCTGTTATTTCAGCCTCACCAAGAAAAGTTGTCTTTTGACTTTATCTTTGAACCCGTCTCATATTTTCTTTGAAATCTTATTTAACAACTCCTCCTCATTCTTTCTTCTTCTTCTTCTTCTTCTTCTTCTTCTTCTTCTTCTTCTTCTTCTTCTTCTGTGTTTACTTTTCGTCGTATTTTCCTTCTTCTACTGCGTATTCTTTTTTTTTTCTTTTTCGTCTTTGTCTATTTCTTCTCTTTTTTCTTTTTCTTCTTCTATGCTGTTCTTTTCTTCTTCTTCTTTGGCGCTTTCTTCTTCTTCTTCTTCATTTTCATATGCGCTTCATTTTACTTTTTCTTCGTCTTTTTCTTCTTCATCTCCGTTTTCTTTTTCTTTCTCTTTCTCTTTTTCATCTGCATTCATTCTCTTCTTCTTATTCTTCTTCTTCTTGTGTGTTTACTTTTCGTCCTATATTCTTTCTACTGCACTTTCTTTTTTTTTCGTCTTTTTCTTCTCTGTTTTCTTTTTCTTCTTCTATGCTTTTCTTTTCTTCTACTTCTTCGTCTTTTTCTTCTTCTGGGCTTTCATTTTCTTCTTCTTTTTCTTCTTCTTCGTGTTTTTAATATTCTTCGGCGCTTGCCTTTTCTTTTTCTTCATTATTTTTCTTCTTCTGTGCTTTCTTTTTCTTTTTCTTCACTATTTTTCTTCTTCTCCTGCTCTTTCTTTCTTCTTCTTCTGCATTTTCTTTTTCTACGTCTTTGTCTTTTTCTTCTTCTTCGTGTTTTCCTCTTTTTCCGCACGTTCCTTTTCTTTTCCGCTTTTTTCTTCGTCTTTTTCTTCTTTTGAGTTTTCGTTTTTTTTCCTTCTTCATCTTTTACTTCTTCTGCGCTCTCAATATCTTCTCCTTTTTCTTCGTCTTTTTCATCATCTCATGCGCTTCCCTTATCTTCTATATCTTATTCTTCTTCATTTACGATTTCTTTTTCTTCTTCCTCGTCTTTTTCTTCTTCTTTTGCGGTTTCTTCTTCTTCTTCTTCTTCTTCTTCTTCTTCTTCTTCTTCTTCTTCTTCATCTGCGCTTCCTTTTACTTTTTTTTCGTCTTTTTCTTCTTCTTCTTCTTCTCCGTTTTCTTTTTTCTCTTTGTCTTTTTCGTCTACTTTCATTCTCTTCTTCTTCTTCTTTTTCTTCTTCTTCTTCTTCTTCTTTAACCTTTATTCATTCTGATATTTCCTATCGCATATTTGGTTCACTGGAAAAAAAAATTCTAAATGTATGATTAGAAAATCTTCACATCCAAGAAATTTTTGAGACTCTTTGAAAAATGGCAAGACCATCGGAAAATATCGTAGAGTTTTTGATTAGATCCGATATTCTTCGATAGAGAACAGCATCATTAGCTAATACCAAAGGCTTCTTTGAAATTAATTGTTATTCCTTGTCGAAAGAAAACGGGATTCAGCATTAAAAGCAATGTGACATTACTTAATTCATGTGCACCTTAATTTCAAAGGTTTTACCAAAAAGTTAATTATTCCAGTGACCTGATTTTTAAATGTAAGTTTCAAAATGTTAAGCTGATGGAATTAGAAAGCCACACTTTGGGGCGACTGTCTGGATTTCCAAGAATCGCTAAAATATCGAATGTAGGATGCTTTTTTTTTTAAAGCTAATTTAATGAGTTTTTTTTCAGAAAATAATGTACGATTTTAGAATAAGCATTTACTCTCGAATTAAACGGTGCTAAAATAAGTAAAAATACTATTTTTCAGCGGATACCCAAGGTGCGCCAGGTAATTGAGAACAGGATTCTGAAAGAGATTGATATAAAATTAACAGAGAGGATAATTTAATAATTAGGATTTAGTTATAGATTTTTTGTGCAACTATTATAATCATATATTAGAACAAAATTAAAAAAGTTTATTCTAAAATCGGACATTACTTTATGCCTAAGCTAATACTATTTTTAGCGTATACCCGGGGTGCGTCAGGTATTTGAGAACAGAATTCTGAAAGAGATTGATATAAAATTAACATTAGAATACAATGAAAAGTTTGTTCTAAAATTGGACATTAATTTACTTAGAACTCACTTTGGGCCAAAGAGATTTTCTATTTCTGAAGGTATTTATTCATATCTATCTATCTATCTATCTATCTATCTATCTTTATATAATATTTTAATATTTAATATCACTTTCTCTTTTAATGTTCTATAATTAGAATTTTGAGAGTGTATTTTTATCTTCTGGAGGGAGTTTCATTTTAAAATTGATAATTTAAATTTAAATATACCATTCTTTAACTATTAATAGTAATAATAATATTAACGAAATTCCTTTAATAATGAGGCACTTCAGAAGTCACCTAAAGTTAAACTTTAACTATAAAATAAAACTAAAATCTAAATAAATTTCAAATATTAGAATATAGGTAATGTTTGAGAAATGTATGTATATATAATTTATGTATGAAGATAGATGAACATTTGTGTATATTGTTGCACGTGTGTCTATGTGTGAGTTTGCACATGTAAATTAACGTATGTATATATGGATTTGCATGAATATGTTTGTGAGATACATATAAGAAAAAAACAAAATCTTTAATATTACCCTCAAATATTATTAAATAATGAAACCTAAACCTTAATTAAGTTTACCCATATAATAATAAAGAAAAATTGCATTCATAAATTAGATTAAAAGTAAAACTAATATAGATGTTATTGTTACCGTAATTTTCTTACTATATTATGGAAATACAATTGGTCGGGTAAATAAACTATTATAATTTTGAATATTTCTTTAATATGTTCTCGATAAATGTGCTAATAAAAAAAGTAGTTAACTTATATTAAGTCCCTAAACTATTTACTTAAAAAATTAAATGTTTAAATTGATAACATTCATCATTTTTTTAATTTCTATCAAGCATTGAAATCTATCTTTTACATAATTTTGTTAAAACAAAATTACAGCCTCTTTCGATTCACTTCCCTCTCCCCCTCTCTCTTTGTCGTAACACTCATTTAGATATATCTGTATTACTGTCGTCTGTCTCCTCTCTCTTTTCCATTTTCTTTTTATTTTCTCCCTACTCCCCTCCCATTCCTATATATCATTTCTGTTAAGTTAACCATCTAAATAGGTCAACGTTCGGTCACTCCTCCTACCCCAATATAAAGCATGCTTAAGAGAGATATGAAATTAACCCCTTCCTATACTCTACCTTGTCTCTCTAACTACAACTCTCACCCCCCCCTGTTAAATTACATTAATTACACTACCCATTAATTCCTAATCCCATTTTTCCTTTCATTTCGTTGTTGGAATTGTTACCTGATGATCCGGAGTCCTTTAAAAAGGATTTTGGTGAAATAAATTATTGTAATGGTACCTTAAAGTGGTCTGTTTTTCATTATATATATATATATATATATATATATATATATATATATATATGATCACATCGCTACCCTTTCGTTTGTGTTTGTTTTATTAAGCAACTTATCTACTCTATTTTATAAACCATATGAAGCACATGTGGGCTTTTTTCTTCTAATATATATATATATATATATATATATATATATATATATATATATATATATATATATATATATACACGTGTGTGTGGTGCGTGTGTGTGTGTGCGTGTGTGCATGACAGCATAATTGTCCATCCCAGAAAATGTTTAATAGCTAAAGAAACAATACACCGAGTTTCCTTTTTCCAGGTTTTTAAATAAGTCGTTTATCCATCTTGATACCATTTGCCGTAAGATTCAGAGAAATTACTTATTAGTTATTCAGTTAGAAAGAAAACAGAATAAAATCGTTTTGTGTCAGCCGCACTGTAATCCAAAATGAGAAATGGTGATAGACATTTGGCCGAACAGAAATTTGGCCGAGAGACATTTCGCCGAACGAACGAACATTTGGCCGAGAGACATTTCCATGAATGGACATTTGGCCGATAGACATTTGGCTAAACGAATATTTGGCCGAGAGAAATTTGGCCGAACAGACATTTCGCCAGTGGATATTTGGCCGAACAGACATTTGGCCGAACAGACATTTGGCCAATGGATATATGGCCGAACAGACATTTGGCCGAACAGACATTTGGCCAATGGATATTTGGCCGAACAGACATTTGGCCAATGGATATTTGGCCGAACAGACATTTGGCCAATGGATATTTGGCCGAACAGACATTTGGCCGAACAGACATTTGGCCAATGGATATTTGGCCGAACAGACATTTGGCCAATGGATATTTGGCCGAACAGACATTTGGCCGAACATACATTTTGCCGACAGACATTTGACTGACGGACATTTGGCCGAGAGACATTTGACTGACAGACATTTGGCCGAGAGACATTTGACCAACGGGCACTTTGCCGAACGGACATTTGGCCCAGAGTCATTTGGCCGAACGGATATTTGGCCGGGAGACATTTGGCCGAACGGACATTTGACCCAGAGACATTTCACCGAAAAGTAAAAATAGTAACATGCAATACTTTACGCATTTTAATTAGTAGTATTATAAGGTAGAATAGGACTAATAATTACCAATGAATTTTAAGTGATTAAATTGCAAAATCTAAATTTAAAGTTAAAAGATTTCTTATTTCAATATTTGTTTATTGAAATTAGTATTTTTTAAAAATATTTGAGTGTATTTGGGTAAAAAGTAGCACCTAATTATTTAAATTCGTATTTAATAGTGAGATAAAAGCTTTAAGATAATGATCATTATAAGAGAAATTGAAAGATCTTTCATATCGTAAAAGCTTAAGATTTTTACTGTAGTAAAATGTGCTTTTTCGCAAAATACTTATCATATTACAGTAATATTTGAAGTAAAATATGATATATACAAAACAGATTTTTAAAAAAGCCTGTTAAAAAAACGAAAAGTTATGAATTAATACAGTAAATAATAATAAATAAATATAGCTATATGTAACACATTACGATAGAGAGTGTGACAGACACATGTAAGTAGGCCACCATAGTTTCGGCTAAATGTCCATTCAGTTAAATATCCGTCGGCCAAATGCCAGAGTACCTAGAAGTGTCTTATTTATTAATCTTTAAACATTATACTTCATAAGATACACGTGTTTGAGTAGACGCCCCTTTTTTTAAGCATTGTTAATTACTATTTTGTTTCAGAGTCCTAACAGTTTCCTTTCCAAGTCCGCCATCAAATGTCATCCGCGTATCTTCTCTTGTTTAGATCATATTTTTTAAGCATTTCACCCCAAGCAAGGCGAGAGTGCCACTAGCACTCAAGGGGTTACAGAGGGCAAGTGCAAGAATGAAAAAGCTGGTTTGAGGAAAGGATTAATAGAAGGACGGGGAACAAGATCAAGGCATCAGAAGATGTCAATTGACATTACATTTGAATATTTGAAGATTATAGCCATCAGGGAAGCAAGTAAGAGGAAGCGAGTTCCACTGCCGAGAAGTGCGAGAAAAGAAGCTGTTTTTGACATTATATTTGAATATTTAAAGATTATAGGTATCAAGGAAGCAAGTAAGAGAAGGTTTGTATGTGTGTGTGTGTGTGTGTTTGTGTACGTGTATGTGACGTTTTTTTTTTTTTAAGCATATCACCCCAAGCAAGAGAGTGCCACTAGCACCCCAGGGGTTACAGAGAGTGAGAACAAGAGTAAAGAGGGTTGTTTGAGGAAAGGGTATTGAGAAGGACGGGTCTTGAAGTGAACAACATGTTTGAACCTTCCTCCATCGTCTACCAGAGTCTACGATACTGTCGTCACCACACTTTTCCAAGACTAATTCCTCGTCTTGATGCGAACAACATGTTTGAACCTTCCTCCATTTTCTACCAGAGTCTACGACACTGTCGTCATCATACTTTTCCAAAACTGATTCCTCGTCTTGATGCGAACAACTTGTTCGAACTTTCCTCTGTTCACTACCAGAGAACCTAGAGTTTTTCTTCACTGAAGATTGATGAACTTTTCATACACCTCTTTTGAATTCTGACCTTTACGAATCAGTTTAAAAAAAAGATAACATTACACACACATTATTAAACCTCGCAGTGAGTATTTTTCCTTTTTATGTTTGTTTTCCACCAGACTCGTTTTGTCATTTCCTCCTGGCTATCTATATTTTACTATTTTTATGCACGTGTCGAATGACCCTTTTTCCTCACTAAAGATCACACATTTATTATCTTTACTTTGTTAGTGGATTCGGTATTCGTAAGTAGTGTCTGGCACAAGGCCACCGTTTTGTAGGCCAGCACTGCATGCTACCGGGTCCTCTACAGGGGGATCAAGATCAAGGCATCAGAAGATGTCGATTGACATTACATTTTGAATATTTGAAGATTATAGCTATCAGGGAAGTAAGTAAGAGGAAGGGAGTTCCACAGTCAGGAAGTGTGAGAGAAGAAGCCGTTGGAGTAGAAGAGACGGCTGTATTTAACCGTTTTAAATAAACAGAGAAAGGGTGGGACAGAGATACCAACCTAGTAGCTCGCTTAAATTCATGCAGTTTGGGAACCAGCGTCGGGGCAGTTGAAGAGACAGAAGGAGGCCATAGCACATCTGTGAGATAGTGACTTTAGACGAGATGCCAGATCAGGACCTATCACATTGCATATCCGTCTCTGGGTGTTGTCGAGGACCTCGAGACGTACAGTGGGGGCACCAGACCATATATGACAGCAATATTCCATGCAAGGACGGATGATTGAATTATAGATTGGAAGCATGAACTTAGACGAGAAAAACTTTCTGGCACGGCACTGAGAACCAACCTTCCTTGCGGTAGATGAAGCAATTGATTCAATGTATTTGTTCCATTCTAGGTCAGCGGACAGCGTGAGACCAAGCAGGTGCAGAGAAGCGCTTTTGTGGAGTTGGGCTTCAGCCATCCTGATGGAAAGCAGGGGTGGGGGTTCTCTATGATGGGTAAAGGAGAGCAGTTTCGTTTTGGAGGCATAAAAGTTTACAAGCCATTTCCTGCCTCCGTCAACCACAGACTAGAGATCCTTTTTTAGACCAGACCATTCTTGTGAGAAATTCTCGTTCTCTTAGGATCGTTTCGTTCTATAAACAGCAGTAGCAGTTCAGAGCTCTTTGCGTCTGTGACATTTTCATGTGTCTTAATACTTTGCTTAGTTTCTGGAAAGGCA